CCCTTGACTACTAAATGTTTTTTTTGTTGTTACTAATAGTAAGTTTTACATATCTTCAGAGAAATCTTATGTTTATAAAAAACGGTGCAGAAACGAAAATTTATTTATCAAAATGTTATATGTAGTAGATATTGATTTGGAAAATGTTGGTGAGTGGAGGTTGTTCAGGGTGGTAAATCCGATAGTAGTGCTCAAAACTCATTTGCTTAATTGCTTATCCTGTAAATACCAAATGTGAGGGTGATCCTATACTTATGATAACTGTTCTCGTTTTTACACTGGTTTCGTACTGAGTGCCTCTAGTGGGTTACTTTAGACTGCTCCTCATCCTATAAAGTATTGGATAGAGATGGATTTTAGCCAATTACTTAAGTTCGACATAATATCTATCATTTATTTGTTAGATACACTACAAGAATGTATTACTGAGACACATTCCAAAACAAAGATCGACAATTAATCCTTAGCTCATAGAACATTGAAAGACATGCTGGATGCAAAGGATAAAGAATGTTAATACTCGAAATATACATCATAACTGCACTTCTTCATTGGGTTTGTGTGATTTTTCAAAAAATCTATGAGCTTGCAACTAATTTCACATCTTTACAGGCTGACAAGATCTCACCTGATGAAATCGAAAACATCTTTTTCATTGGAAAAACTTATGATGCCATGGGAAATTATATCAATGCAAAAACTTATTTGGACAAGGTTTCTTAAGTTTTTTATTTTTATTTGCAAAAAATGCGGTTTGTTCTTAAGGTTGTAAGCATGTCCGGGAATCCAGATTGTGCGATCGAATGCGAATATGTGGAGGAAGCCAAGCAAATTCTTAGTGGCCCTAACTATTCATAGTTGATCATTATGTTATTTAATAAATGGTTTCTTTGCTGTTAGTGCACATTCCTCGAACACGGCCAATGAAACTTTGGCTCGGAAACCGTCATCTTGGTCCTTCTCATTTTCAGTGTGCAATGCGTAATTGTTTCGTTACCCTTCATGACCAATTTCAAATAGTATAGTCCATGTTTGTTTTTCTTGCAATCTTGGCATAGTTATTATAGGCGGAT